GAGAATTCACAGCATACAAAAGTCTGTAATTTATGAGATTTCTATTTTCATTTATATGTAAGAATATTGCTTGATTTACTATTTTATTGAGAAAAGACTTAAACTGAGAAATTTACCTGAAAAAGTATTTTAAAAATTAATTATTTTATAAATATAAAGGCATAGAGAGGAAACAGCCTCACTAATGGAGGAAAAGATGTTGCCCACTGCAAGGGCCTACAACAGCCAGTGATGGGCAGGCTGAAGCTAATAGATGGGAACTCACTCAAGTTCTCCCCAGTGGGTGGCAGGAACACATGTACTTGGGCCATTACCTACTCTTCCCCAAGGTGTGCACTAGCAGGAAACTGGAATCAGGAATAGAGCAGGTACTTGAACCCATGCACTCTGATATTAGATGAAGGCATCCTAAGCTGTGTTTAAACCATTGTGCTCCACAAAGTTATCTTATCACAGAAAATGACATATTTTGCTTTCAAGATTACTATTATAAAGAAACTGAATGAAATAGAATTTTAAGGCCTCCTTTCTTTTTTTCTGAGGATAGCAAAGAAGTTACAACAGAAACTGAGATAAAATTAAGGTGAAAGCACAGATTTGGAAAGGCACAAACCAGATTCAGAAATTTCTCCTAGTCTGAAGCATTACAACAGATGCTACATGTAGGCAGAATTAAGGGAATCTCTTGTATCATCAGTGGCCTAGATTACATCAGCACTGATTCAATCTTTTCCATCTCCTAATTTTAATGGTTCTGCTTTCCCAAAGGCTGCAGTAATTTATCCCATGGGTTCTCAAAGTAAGTAAAGTTTAAACAGAAACACTGTGTATGTGTTCTTCATTGTATTTTCTACTTGTTAATACTATCCCTATCTGTAAGGGTCACAGTATCTTCAGTTCCACATCCAATGAAAATGCCTTGCATACTTGTATATTCACTACTTTGTTGCTGAAATGAAGAATGTATGTGATCTGTGAAATAAAAAATGAGTAATACATTTACTGCTTTAGTCTAAAGTTTAACCAAAATGAATTTTGCTGACTCCATGAGAGAAGATCTATAGCCAAATTAAATTTGCCAGAAATATTTTACATCATAAAATACTTCAACTATAATTTTATTTTTCTTCTTAGATCAGACTAGAGCAACCCTTCCCCAAACATGTTTTTAAAATAAAAAAATTACAGTAGTTCTTACTTTGTAATATGCTTATTCCTTCAGAGATTTACTAAGAAGGAGAAAAAAAATTCTTAAAATGATAATGAACACTAGTTGAGACTCATATGCCAAGACATTCCAGTAACATATTTTTTATTTAAAGACACAGATAATACAGTTAAGAAACAAGTTTGGCTTTTGGGGGTTTTGTTAAGAGTAATTAAAAGTAAAGATGTTGTCACTTTGAAAAATAGGTGAATTACCATTTCCTATTGACTTATTTATCGATTGGAAAAGACAAATGGGATTACATCAACCTGAGAAGCTTCTGCCCTTCAAAGGAAACACTCAGCAAAGTGAATATGCAACTGACAACATGGGAGAAAATATTAGCAAACCATGAAACTGATAAAGGATTAATATCCAGAACATATAAAGGCCTCAGAAAATTCAACAACAACAAAACAAACAATCCAGTTAAGAAATGGACAAATGACTTGAACAAGCATTTTTCAGAAGAGGAAATTCAAATGGGCAACAGATACATGAAATAATACTTGGGATCACTAGCCATCAGGGAAATGCAAATCAAAACCACAATGAAGTTCCACTTTACTCCAGTCAGAATGGCTCTCATACAGAAATCAACAAACAATAAATGCAGGCAAAGATGTGGGGAAAAGGTACCCTAATCCACTGTTGGTGGAATATAAACTGGTTTAGCCATTGTAGAAGACAGTATATCTAAAAGCTGAAAATAGTCTACTATACAACCCAGCAATCCCACTCCTGGGAATTTACCTATACAAAATGAAATCAGCACATGAGTTATCTGTACCCTCATTTCATTGCAGTTCAATTCACAATAGCTAAGATATGGAATCAACCCAGATGTCCATCAACAGATGACTGGATAAAGAAATTATGGTATATACATGGAATACTATTCAGCAGTAAAAAATAAATAAAACCCCATCTTTTGCAGCAAAATGGATGCAACTGGAAACCATTATATTTAGTGAAATAAATGAGCCCCAAAAAGTCAGATACCATCCATTTTCCCCATATGTGGTAACTAATAGAATACCTAAAATGTAATGTATTGGAGTGAAATTGACATTTAGAAATTTGACGATTGTTTATAGTCCTTATCTCTACTGTTGAGGAATAGTGGTTTTTTTTTTTCATATTTGCTGAACTCTTAGAGTAGGTTTAATCTTATGAGTATAAAGTAAACTGAAAATGGATCTTTGTAAAACTTAAGAGTGGGAATAGGAGAGGGAGGAGGAAGAAGGGTTGGAGTGTGGGCAAGAAGCAGGATAGGGTGGGAAGTATCACTATGTTCCTAAATCTGTATATACAAAATACATGGAGTTTGTATACCTTAAATAAAATTTTTTACAAAACAGAAAGACTTAAGACTTTATATGCAGTTCTCAAACTGTCTGGCATTTGGCATCAACTCAGGCAGAAGCTGTCAATTTTTTTAAAGATTTATTTATTTTTATTTGAAAGGCAGAAATATAGATATATAGGCAGGCAGGCAGATAGATAGATAGATATATCTTCCATCCACTGGTTCACTCCCCAAATGGCTGCAATGGCCAGGGCTGGGCCAGGCTGAAGCCAGAAGCCAGGAGCTTCTTCCAGGTCTCCCACATGGGTGCAGGGGCCCAAGTACTTTTGCCATCTTCCATTGCTTTACCAGGTGCATTTGCAGGGAACCTGATCAGCCAAGACTCAAACTGGCACCCAGATGGGATGCTGGCACTATAGGCGGAGGCTTAACCTTCTACACCATAATGCCAGCCACTGAAATAGGACTCTCATAGGGATGGGAAATGAAGGTGGAAGGGTAGAGAGAAAGACAAGCAACCTAAGGGGAGCTGATGAAAGCAGTTTCCAGGCTGTCAGGGAGAGAGGCCTTCACTATGTTTAGTCAGTCTCAGGGAGGTATGATTACCCAGAACAGGGCCAGAGGTAGAATGGGTGCTAAGAGATGTGACTAGGGAGGGAATTTAAGAGAACCTCATGACCTAGAGACCTTTTGAGACAGGTACAAGGTCTGTACTGGTAACTAGTGGGCCAAATGTTCTCTGCAATGCCTTGAGACTACACAGGCAGGAGTGATAAAGGAAGGGAATGGTTGTGCTTGTTAATAAATGGACAAAGCTGATAAACAGCCATTACCCATAATCATTAGTCTACTCCAAAATTAAAGATAAAGGACTGAAATAGCAGAGAAGCCTCCAAAACCCCACAGAAGCATTAAAATCATTAAAATTAGTGTCTACTTCCTTTCCAATTGATTGGGGCACAGTTATCTGTTGTCATGTAAGAGTTTACTCTCAAAATTGGCAGCTTATATCAATGATCTTTTGTTATCTCAGAGATCTTGTGGGTTAGAAATCTGTCAGCTGCTTAGCTGGGTGGGTATGGCACAAGGTAGCATTTCATGAGTTTGCAGTCAAGATTTCAGTTGGATCTCCAGCCTTGGGTAGGGCTACAGAACCAATACTGAAATGTGTCACATAATTCGTAAGTTAATTCTGGCTGGTGCAGAGTCTTTCCTTGCCATACGAACAGTGTGGAATGCTTGAGTGTCGTCATGGCAGCTACCTTTCCCTGGAAATATCTAAATCAAGAGAGAATATGGCAGCAGCCAGAGTATTGTTTATGACCTAGCCTCAGAAGTTACAATCCATCACTTCTGAAAGATCTAATTGATAACACAGTGCAGGAGGGGTCACATAGGGTATGCTAACCAGAAATTAAAAATCACTGGAGACCATTTTAAAGGCTCCTCCACCGTCTGAACTTATCTTGTGGTTTGCAAAATATTTTGAGAATAAATTCACTCAAGTCAGAGTAGCACTGAAAAAGGCAGCTGCAGCAGGGCAGTGCAGGGCCAACCTTGATTGATTGAGATTAAATTTTGATACTTCAAATAAGTTTTATAAAAATGCAAATTTTGCTCCTGCACATCTGAACTTGTTCTGAGATTTGTAACTGCCTGAATTAACTGCCAAAGTTTTTTTCTTTTAAAAGTCACTAGTCTTCTGTTGGTACAATTATTTTCTTAAAAGAGACAATCGTTGAATACCTTTGCCATTCATTTCAGTCTAGGAAGCAGTTTTCCTCTTCCTAGTAGGTACTAATGTCATTACATCATTCCTCTGGCATCCCAGAGCATGGACCTCTTGTAATTCCCTCGCAGAAGAGTATCTGTGCAGCACAGCAGATGCTAAGTGGAACTGTCTTGGCATTCAGAAGGATAGTGAAAGTTGACCTTGGGGGTCTGCTGTATTCATTTTTCAAACCTACAATCAATTATCTATTGCTGGGGGAAAATACTAATTAAATATTTAGCTCTGCTTAAGTTTATTAACAAGCAACCATCAATGATCGTATAGCAGCTCACCACTGAATTATCAAGGGACTATTAGAGTGCAATGTCTTTCGAATTTTCTAAACTCTGTAATTATTTTACAAATGTTGCCATTTTCAAAGCCATATTGCTATTCTTAGGATTTTTTTTTAAAAGAAAGCTTATTTATTTGAAAGGCAGTTAGAGATAGAGAGAGCGAGCAAGAGAGAGAGAATGTCTTTCATCTGCTGGTTCACTCCCCAAAAGGCTGCAAATGCCAGGGCTGAGCCAGACTTAAGCCAGGAGCCAGGAGCTTCCTTCAAGTCTCCCACATGGATGCAGGGGCCCAAGGACTTGGGGTGTCCTCTGCTGTTTTCCCAGGCACTTTATCAGGGAACTAAATGGGATGTGGAACATCCAGGACTCACACCTGTGCCCAATATAGGATGCGAGTGTTGCAGGTGGTGGCCTTACCTGTTATGCCTCAACACCAGCCCCAGGAAAATATTTTAAAAATTCCAAGTCACCTGGATATATTTGACACATAACTGAAAAGAAGAAGAAGAAATACGAAGTTTTAAATAATTTATCAGTGGCAGTAGTATTAATATCCACCCATGAAAAGAATGATTCTTGATTTGTGTCTCACAAAAAAACAAGCAAATTGGAGTCTGCACTGGGGCACAGCAAGGTACGCCATAGCCTACAGTCCCCGCATCACATATCTGAACTGGCTCAAGTCCCGGCTGCTCCGCTTCAGATCCAGATCCCCACTAAGGCTTCTGGGAAAAGCAATGGAAGATGCAAGAAAGAACTTGCTGTTCAGCTACAATGAGTGTATGAAGCTTACAGTCTTTGGCTATTAAAACCTTCAAGATTTAACTCAACTTTTGATCTGAGGTCATGCCCTTCTTGGGATGGTCAATAAAGGAGCATGTGGGTGTACTACATCTGGCCATTTCTGCCTAATGGAAATTTTTCTATGGGCAATCTTTGCTCAGGAGTTCCTCATTGAGTTGGCCGATACTTTCTCAGGGCCAGAGTATGGTCTGAGGTTCTCATTGAAAAGTTTCCCTTCTACTTTCACAAATATCACATATACATCATGGTCTAAAGGCTCTCCTTAAGCAATCCTGTTTCCCTCCCCTTTTATCTTTCATATAGTGTTCCCAACAAGAATCTTGCTTTCCTAACTACATCTCAGTATCTGCTTCCCAGATGACCAAAATAACACAGCTACTGTTTGCAAGGAACCTATTACGTGGCAGATTGTATCATAGTGTTTGGAGAAGTTATTTAATTTCTCCTAACTGTTGTAGTGTTCTAATAATTTAATGAAATAATCTGTAAAAGAGCAATTTGTACAATTCCTGGTATATAGTAAGTACTCAATAACTGGTATATAACTTCAAGAATATTATTATGCCAGAATCTGGGGAACATTGTGTTTATCATTTATGATACTTGTTATAAAAGCAGTAAGTATTATCGTGCTCATTTACATATGAGGACACTAGGGTTCAGTAAATAACCTACTCAAGCTACTTAGTTTACATGGCTAGACTGTGTAACTTGGGATTAAAACCCAGCAAACTCTGTAGAAGACAGCAATATATGTTGGCAAATCCATTGCTATTATGCATAATGTAAAGGGGCTCCACACCCTCAGTGGCATGGTATGTACAATTGGTAACTAATATAGAATATTTTGGGGATTTTTCATAAATGTAAGCGTGTACTTTTAATTTCCACAAAATACAGGACATTAAAATATGACAATAGGTATTAGGCCAAACATTTGCCTAAAAGCTTAGAAGAGCAATATATCATTGCTACTCCCTGATGAGTACCAATCAGTTATTATTTTTGTGGAATGGTCCTCTGTGTAGGTTTGTCCAGGGTTTTCTCATGATTAGATTGTTTAAAGTTCCATAATCTTGCTATCAACTGTAATTACCTCCCTCTAATGTTCCCCTCTCCTCACATCAAATGTTCATTTTAAAGATTCAAAAAAAATGTGATAAACATTATGAACAGAAGGAAATTAAAGTATGTATTTTAAAGCTGGATTTCTAATGAGGAAGCAGTAATCTGCACTAAGCAACAGCTTTTGAAGCACATACATATTGTTCTCTATAGTTTTAAGATAAAGAACATAAAATGTTTAAAATTATGTCACAAAAAGTTTGAGACCATGCTGTTTCCTTGTGACTAAGATGGCGTGGGACTGGTGGAATGGGTATAGTGGATGAACAGTTTTTTTTAGAGATATAATGTCAGGAAACTAGTGTTTTCCCCCAATCAATCCATGGGGTTGATCAAATAAGCCTGCTTACATTCAAAAGAGGATATGACCTATGATTTGAAAGATGACATGGGCACTTTATGCCCAACGTTGCCATTGATCTTCAAGCTAATTTTATTCAAGAGTGGTCAGCATGACCACAGGAAGGAAAAGATGACCAGTAAAGTAAATGGCATTGTAGCTTGGTGACAGGTTAAGGTAGCTTAGAAGTCTAAGAAAATGACTTAGTCACTTTTTTTTTTTTTTTTTTGACAGGCAGAGTGGACAGTGAGAGAGAAAGACAGAGAGAAAGGTCTTCCTTTGCCATTGGTTCACCCTCCAAAGGCCGCCGCGGCTGGTGCACCGCGCTGATCCAAAGGCAGGAGCCAGGTGCTTCTCCTGGTCTCCTATGGGGTGCAGGGCCCAAGCACTTGGGCCATCCTCCACTGCACTCCCTGGCCACAGCAGAGAGCTGGCCTGGAAGAGGGGCAACCGGGAAAGAATCCGGCACCCTGACTGGGACTAGAGCCCGGTGAGCCGGCGCCGCTAGGTGGAGGATTAGCCTATTGAGCCGCGGCGCCAGCCAAGACTTAGTCACTTGTAATAAGGATGCTGCCACCCAACCACCAGAGAGAGGGACTGCTCAAAATGAAAATTACATCTATAACTGAGTATCACGTGATTAAAACATGTATAAGTTTGTATTCAATATATTCTTGCATTAGTGTGTTTTAATACACTCATTAGGAATATGTATCTTTATTTATTTATTTGAAAGGTAGAGTTGCAGACCTAAGAGGAGAGATAAAGAGTTATCCTTCCTTACTCCCCAAATTGCTGCAATGGCCACAGCTGGGTCAGGCCAAAGCCAGGAGCCTGGAGCTTCGTCCAGATCTCCCTTGTGGGTGCAGGGGCCCAAGCACTTGGGGCCATCTTCCACAGCTTTTCCCAGGCTATTAGCAGGGAGCAGGATCAGAAGTGGTACAGCTGGTACATGAAGCTGTGCTCATATGGGATGCTGGTATCACAGGTGGAGGCCTAATGTGCTATGCTACAATGCCAGCTGCAGGAACACATATCCTTTAAAAACATTTTTCAAACAATTTCTGGTCCTAATGTAGAAAGTAGAGTCCAGATGGTGTTTTAGTACCATCAAGTCACTGTAGTTGTACTTAGGGACTCCTGGATATTTGGTACACAGATGTTTATGAAAATACATTTTTACACAAGTGTTAACATTTACACAGATATATGCATCAGAACAGAATATTCACCTTGGGGAAATTAAACAAAAATCATTTGAAATGTGGACTCTTAAGTATTGTTATAGATCTCAAAGAAACAGCTCTAATTTATTGCTCATGTGGGAGATATTCTAGATGTACTTTGCTTTTCACAGTTACAACTATGGCACAACAGAGTAATTATCAGTTTTTGAATTCTGTGAAGGACCAAAGTTTTCTCACTGGAAATGTTTCCAAGAGACTCTTCTTTCTAAAATATATTTGGACAGGGAATGAATGACTGGCATTTTTTTAAAGAGATTTACTTATTTATTTGAAAGGCACAGTTACAGAGAGGCAGAGGCAGAGACAGAGAGATCGTCCATCTGCTGCTGTTTAATTTTTTTTTTTTGGACAGGCAGAGTTAGACAGTGAGAGAGAGAGGCAGAGAGAAAGTCTTCCTTCCATTGGTTCACCCCCCAAATGGCCGCTCCGGCCAGCGTGCTGTGCCAATCGGAAGCCAGGAGCCAGGTGCTTCCTCCTGGTCTCCCATGCGGGTGCAGGGCCCAAGCACTTGGGCCATCCTCCACTGCCTTCCTGGGCCACAGCAGAGAGCTGGACTAGAAGAGGAGCAACTGGGATAGAACCGGCACCCCAATTTCCCTAGATGGCTGCAATGGCCAGAGCTACACCAATCCAAAGCCAGAAGCTTCTTCCGGGTTTTGCATGCTGGCACAGGGGCCAACCACTTGGGCCATCTACTGCTTTTGCCAGGCCATAGCAGAAAGCTAGATAGAAAGCAGAGCAGCTGGAACTAGTGTCCATATGGGATGCTGGCACTACAGGCAGCAGCTTTATGCCACAGTGCCTATCCATGGCTGGCATATTTTAAAACGTATATATTGGGGCCGGTGCTGTGGTATAGCTGGTGAAGCCACTGCCTGCAGTGCTGGCATCTCATGTGGATGCTGGTTAGTGTCTTGGCTGCTCACTTATGATCCAGCTCTCTGCTATGGCCTGTGAAAGCAGTAGAAGATGGCCCAAGTCCTTGGGCCCCTGCACCCACGTGGGAGACCTGGAGGAAGCTCCTGACTCCCGGCTTCAGGTTAGTGCAGCTCCGGCTTTTGGAGCCATCTGGAAGACCTCTATTCTCTCTCTCTCTCTCTCTCTCTCTCTCTCTCTGCCTCTGCCTCTCTGTAACTCTTTCAAGTAAACAAATAAAATCTTAAAAAAAAAAAACCAAAAAAACAAAAAAGTAGATTTTTCAAGTGGCAGCAAACTTGGAAAAAACTAGAAATGCTAATATTTTAGTATTTGTTGGGTTGTTAAAGGAGTATAAGCTCTTGTTTTTTTCAGTGGGAAACAATACAATACATAAACAATCTTTTAAAAATTAATAAGAATAATGTTTGTTCAGTGGATTTTTAAAGCAATTTCATACAAATCTGGCTCTCAGGGCCTGGTGTTTTGGTGTAGAAGGTTAAGCTTCAGCCCTGTGCACAGGCATACCATATGGGCTCCAGGTGGAGTTCTGTCTGCTCTACTTGCAATCCAGCTCCCTGCTAATGTGCCTGGGATAGCAGTGGGAGATGACCCAGTGCTTGGGCTCCTGCAGCCACTTGGGAGACCCAGATGAAGCTCCTGGCTCCTGCTTCATCCTGGCCCAGCACTGGGCTGTTGCAGCCATTTTGGGTGGTGACACAGCATACAGAACATCTCTTTCTCTGTAGCTCTACATTTTAAATAAATAAAATAAAACTGAAAAAAAAATTGGCTTTTAGTAAATAAAAATGTATGGAAAATTTCCTTGCTTATGTTACATGTCACAGTAAAAAAAATCTATTAACATGAAATGAAGTTAAGTATGTTATATTTCCCCTTAAGTTTTTAAAAAGGGATTGCAGTTAGGATCCACTAATGAGAAACAACATGATTTAAAGCTATGGTACATTCTGTATGAGAGTTGTAGTGAAATCAATTTATTTTAATGGACAACTATCATAGTGAATAGCAGTTGAAAACCTACATAATGTGGGACATT